GCTGAAAGCATGATTGGCATAAGATTTGGTGACAAATTATCTCGGAAGTAAATTACAAACGCGACGAAAGTAAACAAAGCAGGAAAACGGAGCATGCTCACAAATCCGTGAAAGTCAGCTGAGTGCGCGCTGCTGCTCGAAGTGCGTGAACCTCAGCGGGGGCTGCATTGCACAGAAGCAGCACCAACAGCAAACAGCAAAACAGTAGCGGTGTTGACCTTCTATTTGACGGACTGTCGGCGGAATGCAATGGGTCCCCCCCCCCCCTCTCTCCCTCCCCCCCCCCCTTTTGTCGCCGCCGACAATGACTCAACGATCTTCTCCTAAAAGCCTCCGACGTGGCACAACAAAAGGGGCGCCGCTGTCGCCGCCGCCGCAGCAGCGCAGCATCCCGCGGTCAAATTGGCGAGCGGCCACATTTTGTCGTGCGAGCCCGCCCTCGGCCGGTCGCCGTGGCTCGACGGCGGAGGGAGTTGCAGTGGTCGCGCTTTTGCGGGGTTTTTTGGCGAACGAGCGGGGGTTGAGATCACCGCGAACGGTTTGCAGGTTGCGGCATTCCTGGGTTGTCTCGGCCTGCCATTTTCATGTTGTGCATACGCGCAGAAATAATTTGGTTGTGGTCGTGAGCTCAGAGATTGCGCCGTTTGTTGTTGGGGAGAGGTGTGGGGGTGGCTGCACGAACGAATGAACGCGAGCACGGGCCGGCGACCGTCACGTCCAAGGGCGATGAGTCGCGCACCGTTCGTTAGTCCGCCTCCTCTTGTTGACCCCTAGCAACAAAACCAAACTTCTGCTGGTGCTCTGCCTTAACGGCTGCCATCTCCTCCATCTTTCTCAGTTCTCTGCCCTCCACATTTCCACAAACGGCCCCCCCCCCTTCCTTCAACTCCTCCAACATCCCAATCCTCAGCCTTCCTTCCTTTATTTTCCCCTTCCATTGTTCCTTCTTTGACGTCCTTCAAACCATCTTCCCCAATCCGGGTGTTCTTCCTCCTTCTGATGATTCCGGGTATAATTCTTCTTCTTTCATCGAGTCCATTCAAGATGTCCTTAATCCGTCGTCTTTAAGTAGCAAACCGCTTGCCCAAACACCTGTGTACAGTTTTAGTTGGATTTTTTTCTGGAAGCCATTTTTTAAATGATTTTTCAAGAACCCAGAATACAAGTGGGAGAACCTCCGATTAGCATGATTCGCTACATGCAGTACGAACCATTAAATGTAACGCACGAACATACATACAACAAACAAGGAGAGCGAAACTTCGTGTAACAGGCCGCCCTCATAATTGGTGGAACGAATGAGGGCATCATGGTAGGGGTAACGATTAGGAACGATGTCTTTTAAGGGGGTGAGAGGAAAATGGTGGGGGGGAGGGGGTGTGGGGGGTAAGTGGAAGGGAACAATGGAACCAAACAGAACCCAACAGTTTTTATTGGGTTTTAAGTGGAAAGCCCTTTATGTACATGCCAGTGTGTGGAACGATGGTGTTGGTGATCTGAATTTTGGCGATCTATGAATTTGAAAGAAATAAAAATAAGTTTAACCATTCGGATAGCGAGCTACAGGCTTAGTTCTGCTTGGAAGCGAATCGTCAAATCACGCGCTGTTTAACTGCATGCCTATACAGGTCCCCATAACTGTGAGCAGACAACAATAGGTAGTTCGATTTTCGTGCACAAAAAACGGCAGGATGTACAAGCGCAATGTGCATGCATATTCTTGATTTACCCCATGAATAACCCAACCGGTAATGGATACCCATTGTTATTCATATGCATATATTAACCCACCCTCTGGCCTTCGAACTTGATTGGCCCACAAGTGACGACATCACATCTATCCCTCTATTTAAGAACTAAATAGGAGGATTTCTCCACAAAACTGGCTGTCGCCTGATGATGCAGTTTGTAATGGCTAGCGAAATGCCGTACTCGAATGGTAAATCTTGTGGATTTACTCTCCAACACACCAGTGCGCTGTACTAGTAACGAATTGGCATGTTCTGTTTACGTGACAAACCTTACTTATTGGCTGTGTCGAGTGGTGGCGGGTTTAGCGGCATATTTACGTGATCTAACCCAAAAAACCCTCTTGTGATCTATGAAATTAAAAGCAGTGTGCTCATTTGCCTGAAAAATAATTTTGAATTGGTGCACACTCTACCACTTTATCAATATTATTATGATTACGATGCTTGTGAAAAACTACTGGACATCTGTGAAAAAGAGTTTTACAGCTCATCGGATTCCTCCAGTATGAATACAAATTTTGATTCTGTTTACCTAGGAAAGCCTCCCAGAATCCCCAAGTCACTTTTTTTCAGGAGGGTCCTGTCAGGTTTTCGCTGTGCAGGGGGCGTGGATGCGGCGACGACGTATAGTCTCGCTGCGAGTAATTTTCAGTTAAATTTTTTAACGTCGAGATGTTTGGCCGGACACCAATTGGGGTTATTATTTCGTTTAGCTTGGTCGCATTGTCAGAAACGTGGACAGAGGAACCAAGACAATGGAACAAAAGGCCTAAAAGTAGACGGGTGCCTGGAATTCCTTTGTGTTTTTTTACATGAATATTGCATTTGCTTTGAAATCCAGGTCTCCCTTGAAAAGTAACATTTTAAGTCACAATGGTCTTCTCAACTGGGTTGTTAATAAACTTGGCAAGATGAATGGTAGAAGAGCGAGGTGAAGAGGTCGGAACGCTGTCGTCGTTACTTGCTTACGAAGCAGCGACCTCTTAAACTATTTGATTCATGTCGCTTTTGAATCGTCATTTTTTTAACAAAAAAAACATAAAGTAAAAGAACTGTACCTGGCACGAACCAGAATCGCGCCATTGTCTTTATATAGAAAGCTTTGAGTGGAAAATTACTCGACGGTAGAATGCGAGCTCGTCTTAATTGCCGGGTTGTTGCCAAGTCGCGTGTGGTTGCACCCCTGGAATCTTGGTAAGGGCTTTACTTGTTAACAGGTTCACGGGGAAAATATCGCCAGAGACCTGGATTAGGTGTTTGTGCACGGGCGTGTGTGTGTCGGGGGGGGGGGGGGCTTTACTCGCAGTTCAAAGTTTGCTGTGTGGACGTGGAGTGGGAATGTGCGCATTTTCATGCATTGATGTTTGCCGCGGATGCGTGTGTGCTTTGTGCATGTGTTGTGGAGAGAGGTAGTGTAGCAGTTGGCACACTCTACTACGGACCAACCCCACCTGAGTTCGATTCCCGCTCACGGCCAACACCGGTGACGATTATCTGAACCGGTCCTGGGCCTCCCCTAGGTCGATTCAGCTTCAAATGAGGATCTGGTGCGGTGTGTAAAAACATCGCCACTGGGGGAGACAAAGGCGGCTGGGCGTGGTGCTGGCCACCCACCCCCTCGTGCTCCGTGCCGGTTTTCATAGGTGCTACTCGCTAACAGTACTTGTCCCAACAGTCTGTTAAGGCTAAACGGGGATCTTTGTGTGTGCAACAGTCGCCAAAGTGCAGAAATTGCATTTTGTGGAATGTTTTATCGGGTCGGCAAACATCTAAAAAGAAGGCATAAACATTATGACCAAATCGCTCAGAATGGCCACCATCTGGTAAGATTTCAGAAGCTAACCAGATTTTGAGCCTGGATAGCGATCCCTGGGTAACCATCGTGAATAACAAACTGTTTTTACAGTGCGCTCATATGAAAGTTATTACTTTGATTGCTCTGCTTGCAATATTGACCAGCAGCGCATCACATTATTAACTCATTAGTTTAAGAATTAAAAGCCAGGTTTAAATAATCTTTGCAACCAGCGGATGTTAGCAGTTTTCCCAAATAAACGATACAAATTACCAGGTAAGGTCCTCGAAGCTACGTAGCTCTTTTTCAGAAGCGACCTGGCCACAAATGATAGCGCAAACGAAGTGGCTTATCACGTGGAAATTTATAGCAGCCAAATACTCTAAACGTGTAATTCTCAATGCGGAGGGAAAATCTGGAGGAGCCGGAGATAAACCCACGTGACCGTGGGGAGAACATGCAAACTTCAAATATACAGCAGGCGTCAGGGTTCAGATCGAACCCACGACCTCCTGTATACAAGGCGAGGTAGTGAACATCTAGCGCCCAGCGTGTGAGCGGGCTCGCTCCTCCCTAACTTTATTTTTAGTTTGCACGCTGCAGGGCTAAGTGGTGGGAAATGTGGCAAAATCCGTTGTTGTGCTGTACTCCCATGCTCCCCCGCCTTCACCCTCCCGAACTGACAAAAGTGGTGAAATATGGTCAAACAACCCCCAGGGAGGGTCGTGGGGGTTGTTTGAGTTGACCAAAGTGGTGTAGGGAGGTCCCTCGTCCAGTTGTAATCGATTGCTGCACACGTACACAAGTGCATTGATATCTATGACACTCGAGTGTTTCTAATCATTATCCAACAGCCAACATACCATATTGTTCCCATTGAAAGTGTCGTTGAAATGTTAGCAACGACAGTGCTGATGTCATTTATTTCACCGGGTAAGTTACACTGGGTGTCGAAATTCATTGGAAGAAGCATCCTTCAGTCAAGTAATAATCCCCACGATCCACACGATGTTGGGAGGCCGTCATCCAGCAGTGGATTGACAGATGTCTATACCTGTACACTTTTGTTCAATCCTTGGTGCCGATGGACTAAAACACATTTTGTATGCGTATATGGAGAGACGGAATGCTGTTCTGTTTGTTTTATACAGAAACGCTCCATTTATCGGAGTTAAGCGCCGGCGTTGCGAGTCTCGGGGATGGTTTTGCGACACTTATCCCCACCTCCCTCTGCAAATCTTTCGATTCCTCTTGTGACACGGTTTGCTTTTCCTCTGATTTCTGTGTACTTTATTGTTTGTGTTGCGTTTGTAATTTTCGTGTCGCCGATCACTCTTGCAATTGCGACCTATCCCCTGGTCAGCTGAGTTCTCACCTGGTCGAACAAAATTAACTTAACTTGACTCCACTGTTATCACACCCCCCCTCCCCATACCCACACCCTTCCCCCACAGCTACCTGAAGCGCTTCAAGCAGATGAAGATCAAGGTGATGCGCAGCTGGTGCCGACAGATCCTCAAGGGGCTGCACTTCCTGCACACACGCGACCCGCCCATCATTCACCGCGACCTCAAGTGCGACAACATCTTCATCACGGGTCCCACGGGCTCCGTCAAGGTCGGGGACCTGGGGTTGGCCACGCTCAAGAGGGCCTCCTTCGCCAAGAGTGTCATCGGTGAGTGCGGTCGACGAAGTTCATGTTTAATGTTTTTTGTCATTTTATTTTCCCCAGTATTTTCTCAGCTGTGCTAATGACATTATGTGACGAGACGAAGAATCCAATCGAAAACGCACAAGCACTGCACAACCCCCTTAGTGCTAGAGAACCTCTGATTAGCATGGTTGGCTACGTACGGTGCGAAAGAAGTCATTCGTACATACATACAGAAGCAGATATTACGGAGCTACTTCTGAGAACTATTCAAGCGGTCTGGGGTCCACACAGTGGAGGGCAGCACGTTCATAATCCCCTTCCTGCATGTGAGAGTAATGTTTGTCGCATGGCATTTGAACAAAATGTAATTCTGTGAGCTGGAATTTAGCCATTTTAAGTGCGGAGCCAACTTTAATGTGATTGTTTAATTGAACCGGGGTCCCGAATAAACGGAAGTCAAAATCGTAATTTATTTATTTTTGGCGACTCCGTCCCAATGCGCACATAAACGCCATGACCCACCTGGCGCGGATGATTCTGTTGTCATGTCGTTCAAACGCAGCGAGGACCAATGCGCAGAAGAGCTGAACAAGCGAATGCACTCCATGCTCGGGTATGGGCAGGATCATAGTAGGTCTTATCCAAAGCTGCTCAAACTGCCGACACGACTTAAGTCCTTTATTTGTCATAACGGTATGCCTAATACAGTGAAACTGCTCTCTTGTCTTCATTATTATTTGTGGCCTACCAATGTCTGCAGCCAGGTTCAATCGATGACAATCCTATTCCCTGCAGATATTTAACAGATGAGATGCGTTGCACCGTTAATTCCTCCTGTTTGATAATACTTCTCTTGTCCGTATGCATCTGTGCAGATAGGTTTTTTTTTTCCTGCGGTTAAGCCATAGTCCCAACATACCGCTCGCATCAATGCAGATTAGAGGAGCGGCGACCCACTACTCTGTAGAGTAACATTGGTATAAACACTTGTTACAATATGAACAGCGCATTGAAAATGCGTACTATTTTATGTACTGTTTACAAAGTGTGTTCACAAATCCACACTGAGAAACTCGATGGTTGACAGAGGGGTGTAAATGATTTTTTCGATAGTGTATTTAAATAGAGGTACTGCAGGTAAGTAGTTGTCAGTTTTATATGCATAGTTTAACAAGACAACACTTGCCACCATCCTTCAAACCCATTGGTGATAAAGAGCAAAGTTTTTGTTTACATTATAATATAATGTTTATGTGAGAGCCGGGGGCTTATGGGACCCCGGGGTCCCGCCATAAGGTTCAATTGTAAAATCATTGGTGACCGGGCTGAGACCAGCAACACACTGCAATTGACCCGGTTCTTATCACATACAGCTGCCTGGATTCAAACTCATTGTCTCGGCCATCCCAGCCCAGAACTGACGTCTGAGCCACCCAGCCACCTAGGATGGAATCCTTTTAAGGGAGATGGTTTTTCGAAACCAGGATTTAGCCGCCCGTGATTAAACCACGTTCTCAGCTGTAGTGAGATTCCTGTCTCAGCCCTTGTCACCAATGGCTACAAGCAAAACATTATTAAACAAAAATGTGTTGTGTAATTTGACTAGAGTTCCAGCTCTAGGAATTCGTTAAATTTGAATGATAATGCGTCGAATGTTGCTCTCTCGCTTTGACTGGCATGTGACAAACAAACTTTGGCAGGGATGTTTATTGAAGTAACCTCCAAAGGGGTTCTGCGATTTCGTCTTTCGGCGCCGCTCCCTGACACGAGGTGATGCGCTCCGTCCTGGCTGTGACAGTTCCTCCTGGGAATTTCTTAATCTCATGAAGTGACACCCATGGTACAACTGTAAAATAATTTGGGGCCAAAAAAAGCCACCGTCGACCCACACCAGGAAGTTTGGCTGTTTTGTCTGCTCTGTATTTTCTTGTAAGGCCAAGAGATACGACCGTGTAAGCTTTGCTGAACAAGTTCAAACAGAATTTTGCGAATGCAAATTACATAATCACCGCACTATCACTTGATACAAATTATGAAGCTGATTTGTCCTTGGTATGGGTAATGCAAAGTTGCCCATGTTATATCCCACTTAGCGCTATTTCGAATACATGCGTCGGCAACCAAAATAACAAGAAGAGCCATTATTTTCGAATTCGGTAACAAAAAAACCTCAGTATTTCAAGAGCCTGCAATGCACGTGGTGAATACCAGACGGTGGGTCCTGAATGAACAACGTCACAAAGCAGCAGTCCTTACAGAGCCGTGTCCGGCTCAGGAGCCACAGGTTTGCCGACCTCCTGCTCGAGTTCACCTGCAGGCTTTTTGTCAATCCATTGGTGGAAGGGGGCCTCCCCACGCCGCGCGGATTGCGGAAGTTGTTTGACCTTCGCGCTGATTGGTGCAGGTTGGTGAAGGCGGTGGTGCCCCAATAGTCTGTTAAGGCTATGCGGCGGGAGATCTTTATCTTTTGTGTTGAATTTGCAGTGTGTTACAGTACAACCGTGCATTATTACCACACTGACTTCGGATGACAATGTAGCCCTGTAGCAGTCTTTAAGAAACCTATTATTATGTGTGGCAGTTGCCCATCCAAAGCAATGTCCAGGCTCACTTCTGCTTCGTTACGGGGGAGATCTGGTGAGATCGGACGCATTCCGGGTGATTTTAGTCACTGGTCCGTAGTACCAGCAGTGGCTTGGCGTTTGTCTACTCTCTGGGGTCAGGTTTGGCGGCTGCTGCGTGCTCGTCTTTGTCGTGGTTGCAATGTAATATGATAACAACACCACATCGAGAACAAAATAAGAGGTTCCTTAAATGCAAGGCGCGCAACAGTGGGGGCTTATCACCTGTTGGCATCGCAATGAGAGAAATAATTTTGCTGCAGATTGCCTGTAGTTAACTTTAAAAAAATATATATTTTTTTCCCGTCTCATTGCTCACATACGTAATTGTAAGGTTGGGGAAATCATACCTTACGCTGTCCGTGCTGGATAATTGCGGGAATGGGATAACTGGCTGCTGAGCTTGACTGGTGCTAAATAACACACATCGCCATCTAATGAGACATGCGTAGAGGTGGGGGGGGGGGGACGGCACGCAGGAAACATTTATTTATTTTAATAACATTTTATTTTTCAGGATTTTGTGGCTCAATAAATGTGGGCGGCTTGAGCAATTTTCCCCAGCACGGTGACATGTGAATTTAAATGAACGATTAGGTGATACTGCATTGGCAGTCGTGCACAGACAAACGCAACATGTTTGTCAATAGCACTGTTGGTGTGAAAATGAAAATAAATATAATAATAATGTGACTTACATTTTCCATAAACGCGTTTAATGCCACTAGTGCAGAAGCAGTAAGTGAGCATTCGGGATAGTCACGTGATTAGGCTGCCTATTTTTGATGAAATCTCACTCTTCACAGACAGTGCCACAGGGAATCCTCATCAGCCATGATCTATTTATTAATACATATTTTTTTTCCAAACCATCACTGTCTGAGTTTTGCAATGTAACGTCCCAAGTAGCTCTTGCACATGGGCCAGTGTCATTGTTCTGTCTCCACGATAGCTGCCCTCGCCAGTGAATTCCCCTCCTTTGACTGCCCTTCTGTCATGAGTGGCGGATAATGATGACGACGACGACGACGACGACGAAGAAGAAGAGGAGACATTGACTTGTGTGCGACGTTTGCGTGGTAGGGACGCCCGAGTTCATGGCCCCGGAGATGTACGAGGAGCACTACGACGAGTCGGTGGACGTGTACGCGTTCGGCATGTGCATGCTGGAGATGGCCACGTCCGAGTACCCCTACTCCGAGTGCCAGAACGCCGCGCAGATCTACCGCCGCGTCACCAGCGTGAGTGCACAGCGCGCCAGCCACCCACCAAGCCACCCACCCACCAAGCCACCCAGCCAGCCACCCAGTCACCCACCCACCCAAACCACCCAGTCACCCACCCCACCCACCCACTAATGCCGGCACCCCCTCTCTATTTTGACTATAAACTATTTAAATTTTACCAGGTAAGGCCCACTGAGCGATATAGCTGTTTTTTTTTTAACGACTTTGCCATCACAAGTGGCTTATCACTTGGAAAAATGGATAGAAGCCAAATACTCTAAAACGCGTGTGGAGAAAAAAAACGGAGGACCCAGGGGAAAATCTATGCGACCACGGGGAGATGGAGACCTGCAAACTCCAAATGCATAGCAGATGTCGGACTCGGGATTGAACCCACGACCTCCTGTATACCAGGCAGGTAGTTAACATCTCCTAGCCACCGCAGCGCCCTGTGTACTGACCGACATCGCGGGCAGCCAACCCGTCCTGCCCCCTTGGCCCTGCTTGGCCCCCGAGCCAGATTCAACGTCTTGTGATGCTGGTGCAGGGGCAGTTTGGTTCCCGGTTTGACACGGGTATATATCCAGTGGAAATATCGCCGTGCCATGAGGCTCGGATGCATTGGCGTATAGAAGATATTTGTAAGTGTAAAGCTCTTTGTGTGGGCCTGCGGGTCTGTCGATAAGTCTGTGTAAGTCTCTGGGCTTTTGCATAAGGCTATGCAAGTCGTTTTCTTTCTCCTTTCTTATCCATCAACATCCCACTGCTGGACAAAAGCCTTCCCCATTGTCTTCCATTCTTCACAATCTATTGCCACTTCCATCCAGATTGCTCCTCCAAAATCTTCTCTTTTCATCCTGCGCATCTCATCATTCTGTCTCCCTCTCTTCCCCTCCCTTCCATCGTCTCCATTCCATTGCTAATGCTTGGCCCATCTCTCTCTTCTGTTGTCCCCAGCGAAATGTTATGCCCCCCCCCAACTGCGTTCAATTTTTGGTTTCACATTGTTCATGATGCCCGTTATTGTCTTGGTTTAATTCTCAAGTCAAGAATGTTTCTTTTCATTTTGTACCTCCATGTTACGTTTAAAATCCTCCTTGCCCTTTGGTTGACTCGTAACGTTCTCACTTGTTCTTTAGTTGGGGGAGGGGACATTGGTGCCCTTCAGTTCGTTCCTGGTGAAGTACAAGAATCCCGTTTCCAATCGATCGGTAATCTTCTTTGGTTCTTTCGGTAAAGTCACGTAGAATGAGAATAAAATAATAAATTAATAAAACGAAATAACACAATAAAATTCTCACGACGTTTCGGCCACAACGTCGTGAGAATATTATTGTGTTATTTTATTTGATCAATTTATTATTTTATTCTCATTCTACGTGACTTTACCGAAAGAACCAAAGAAGATGAATCCTTGCAGTCACGAAAGCTTTAAATCGAAATTTGATCGGTAATCGTCGGTCATCGTCCCTTTGTGAAACTTTTCATTGACCAAAAATAATTTCTCCCAGCACGAGTGATTCTCTCTTGCGTCTCTCTGTCCTGCCTATCGTTAGGATTGAACTATTTCTCCGAGTTCCTTAAATTATTACATTTGCGCACATTTCAATACGTTAACATTCAATCTTAGGCCTTTCCGTTGGTTATAACTTTAGTTTTCTTCATATTCATCTCAGATATGACTTCCTTCTTCTAACCTCTGCTTCACCCACAACCAAGTCTTTTCACCAACTAACCCCATCATGCACCGATCGCACCAAGTTTCTTAAAGGCCAAGCAGCTTTGCACCTGGTCGGTGCTTTGACGTGAGACTGCCTGGGAAAGCCAGGGTGGTGTTGGCGTGGGCTGCGAGGTAGATAGGAGATCGCAGCACAGCGATGGGGGTGGAGAGGCGGGGGGGGGGAGTGAAAATAATTGCATTGTAATCTGAGGTGCGATTCGAACCCACATCCGTCACGCATTTTAAAAATAGGCTGCTTCGTGTTAAATCCCCTCCTACAGCTGCTCTGTGTAGTAGATAGCGGTTATTACTTTGCCACTTAACATATGCGGTGTCACCTTGGTTTCTGCCCCGCCTCCCCCCCCGAGGGCCCTCCCCCCGCCCCCCCTATTGCCCAGCAGGGCATGCAGACAGACAGGTGGGGGCCATTCTGTCTCGGTTTACAGATTGTCCCAACAGGAATCCATAAACGCTTACTCCATCTTCAGCAGAAAATAGGTTTTTTTGGGGGTTCGGGGAGGGGGAAGTATAAAATCGCCTTGCGCACAATTTAATTTGTTTAATTCATTAAACGTATCTTGCTGACATTTCTTACTTTGGTTCCAAGAATTTCTCCAAAAATAACTAAATGTCATTTTTGTTCATGCGAGCAGGAGTGTGGTGTTTCTGCCGGGCCCATCCGGGGGAAATTGCCGACTGCCGTGGTCTGTAATTAGCCGTGTGTGGGTGATGTCAGATAGGCCGACTTTACTTTTTCTTGTTGGGGCGGGGGGGGTTGATTGCTTTTTCTCGAAATATTAACGTTACTAAAAAAGTGCTCGGGGGGGGAGGGGGTGGGAATAAGAAACTATGCAAGCGTCCTGCCTGCTCAAAAAAAGGAATTCCAGCATTTATCTTCCAATCAATCGAGCCGAAGATGAGTAAAAAAAAACTGTGCCTCTCGCTGTAAAATGGGGTGACCATCAAAAGGCCGTCGTTATCAGCTGTTTAAAGACCCCCCCCCCCCGGATGTGCTCGCTCACTCTTCTCTGTGCGTTTGCCAAGGTTTTTGAGTGGCTGTGTCGAGGCCCAATTTTGGTGAATTTTCTCCATTGCCCAAAAACAATAAATTATGAACACCCCCGTAATGCTAGACGCCCTGTGTCCTTTGTTGCGCTCACCAGCGCGGAAACCATCGCTAGCTCCGAACTCGGGGTTCATTCTTGGGCCAAAACTGCCAAATGGCCCGACGGATCGTATGTGTCTAAACACGTGCCTCTTAAAAAAATAAATGTATGTATTTACACATTTGAAATGCAGGACGATTCTATTGGTTTGTTTCCTGATTAAAAGACCGAATTGCCTGTATATAACTTCAAAGGTCACGTTAATATTACACGAGCGGCAGGTAATTACGTGACTTCACCCACAATGAGGCCGAAGCTTCGATGAAAGCATCGGGAAGTGGAGGGAATGATAGGGGTGACCAAAGTGACAGGCACAGACATAGACGCACACACACACACACACACGCACGTTCAGATACGTTTAAAGAGAAACACAGACGCTCAAATCCATTTCCATGCACACACAGACGCACACATACGCAAATAAACAGTCACACACGCAAAGACGTGCACACGCAGATTCATACCTGCCTGCACATCAATACACAGATACACGCCCACAAATATCCCCCGTATAGCCTTAGCAGACTTTTGGAGGCAATTGCTGTTAGCGAGCACCTATGAAGGTCTGCACGGCACTTGAGGGGGTGTGTTGTGCAACACCACGCCCGGGCTAGTTGCGATGTTTTCACGCAGCACGCACTCATTTAAGGCTGAGTCCTTTCATTTCATTTATTTCATTTATTTGGTATAGCCCTGTGAGCCATTCGGCTCTTGAATCGGGTGCAACCGCAATAAACAAAAAACATAAACATGAACAAGAAAACATCTTAAAGTGACTATGTGACTTTGTGCAAGCAGAAAATCCAAGAAAAAACAGCAAAATATTGCAGGAAAAGCACCGTACACCAACGCTGTGTGCAAAAATCCCAGTGGGATGCAAGTCAAACAACAGCAACCACAAGACAACTTAGATTAAGGCCATCAGTCTAACTCCGTACTTACAACAAAATAAAAACATGGCCAAACCCAAAAAAACGTTTTCGAAATCACCAAAATATAGCCTGCATTGGCCGTGAGCGCGAATCGAACTTGGGTCGCGCGCACAAACACGCGTGCAGTTAAATGATCTTGTATGTCCCCCGTCCCCCCCTCCTCCCCATGCCGCGTGCAGGGTGTGAAGCCGGCGAGCTTCAACAAGGTCGCTTTTCCTGAAGTGAAGGAAATCATCGAGGGCTGCATCCGGCAGAGCAAGCACGACCGGTGAGTGGATCGGCACGGGTGGTTTGTCGCGGGGGGCACAGCCCCCCAGCCCTTGCGCCACGCTCGCGCTACCGATGCGGAAACGTCGCGATGTGGGGGGGGGGGGGGATCCCTTGCAGCGGAGGCCCTGAATGCAGCCGCATCTCAAGACCCTGCTGTAGGGGGAACAGTGGGCATCTTCAATTTGTACGACATTGGTCTGGTACCGGAGTGTCAAAAACGTAGAGGTGTGTCAAAGGTCAAGTCAAGTTTATTTGTGTAAACCGGATAAGAACTCAAGAGACCAGTGTACGTCACTGCCGCCGTCCACAGCAGCAGCCTACTTGACATCTGTGAAAAAGAGCTTTATAGCTCATCGGATCCCTCCAGTATAAATAAATCTTCTGATACTGATATTATTGTTACATACGTGAACTACATACATCATAACAATTAGCAACTCGCGGTCAGGATATCCTCGCACGCGAGGGTGCCCCAGCGGCCTCGGAGAGTCGTGACGGGGCAGTGCGCAATGACTTGGGGTAAAATAAGTATGGGGTACAGCAACGACACAGCGCTTGGCACGCCCGAGTTCGATTTCTGAGGTCGATTTTCAGCCACATAAATCATCCATGGTGAGTGACCTCTACATCAGAACCGGGTCGTGAGATAACCCCCTCCTCGACCCCCCCCCCCTTCTTTACCATTCACCAACTCCACACATTGACGAGTGTGGCGACGCGAGATGAAAACATTGCTTCAACTGTTGTACAGAGCGCAACTCAAACGGAACTTTTTTTCCATGTTTTATTGCTCTTTTGTCGATTTGCCATCACAAAGCCTTCTCATTCATCCAGACAGTGGATTCAGACATATCCGTGAATTAATTAATGGTTTGACACGAGTAAACATCCTACGGGAGGATTAACAGAGGATTGTGCACGTCACGCTAGCATCATCCACGTCACCCACTCGTCATCCGAACCACACTTTGTATGTTTTGGCGAGGGCAGTTCCATGTGATGGCACAAGGCATCCCCACGTTGAACAGTGTGTGTCGCCGCGTCTGGTTTGAAGGGGATGGGCAATGGCTGGTTTGTCGTTGTTCTCTTGACTTTGGGATTAAACCCAAGGCAGCCGTGTAGGGTGGCTGACGACATTTTTCCCCACTACTCTCAGGATCATCTACGAGTTGCTGTGCTTTGGCCGTTGAAGCGCGTTTGGCGTTTACAGCGAATCTTAAGAGTTCTACAACGTGGTCAAAGTGGGACATGGGCTATTTCCAGTGACCCACATTTCTTAAATGCGCTACTTCTGCAAGCATTAATTTTCTTTGTGTTACTAAACAAAATGTTTATTTAACTAACTATTATTAGTTAAGCTAAATGAACCTTAAAAAAAACCTCTGTAATGTAACTGGTGTTGGCCAAACATCTCAATGGTAAAAACTATTCTGCAAATTACTCAATTGGGATTACACACAGCAGAAATGTCGCCCCCTACTGCTAAAACTTGGCAGGACCTTTCTGACAATCGTTTATGAGACTCGGTGAGGCTATACTGGGTAAGCAAGCAAACTAACCATGATTATTTCGTATGATTAGTAGGAGCAGTGCTATCACTCAGGTGTGCGTGCGTTCGTGTTTGCATGCACTGGTTTTCTGCTCAACGTGTGTTGCACAGACCGCTTCCTGTACAGCAGTACACGGTGCTGTTGGGGGCATCACGGTGGAGAAATATTAACTACCTCGCCTGGTATACAGGAGGTCGTGGGTTCGATCCCGACCCCGACGCCTGTATATCTGGAGTTTGCTTGTTCTCCCCGTGGTCGCCTGGATTTTTCTCTGGGTGCCCCTGGTTGGCTGCTATAATAGTCCGACCAACGTGATAAGCCACTTTGTTGAGCTATCATCTGTGGCCAAATCGCTTCTGACAAAGAGCTACATAGCTCAGTGGGCCTTACCTTGGTAAAATCAAAATAGTTGCGTTTTTAGTTTTGGTCGTTGAGCAAATCTCCCCAATTTCGCGACTTTGTAAAACTGCGTGTGCCAAGCTATAATAATGTACGCATATGCCACAGCTAGAGAGAGGTAAAGAGCTCCCATTCGATATGAACCTCACATGTCGCTTACGTGCCGATTAACCAGATCGGCATACGGATATATCCCGCACCTCCGATTTGGCACAGTTGGCTACGCACGGTACGAAAAGTTCTGCATACATACACATTTAAGATCATATCCCTCGCACCCCCCCCCCCCCTGGGGAGAATTTAAAATCGAGATTTGCATGGGCTTGTCAAAGGCAACTCACGCGGGGTTGGGTGGCAAGCGAGACGGAGTTGAGGTGCTGGCACGAGGGACGTGGCCTGACGCGACACATTTGTACGTGATCCGGCAGGTAGTTCTCTCCAAGTGAGCAGCTCGTGTTTCACAAGGGTCGTTGCATAAGCGGCTGCCAGCGTTGGTGACTCAGGAGGCGATCATCACTGACGAACAATATGCGAGCGAGTCGCCTTGACATCCAAGATGCGGTCATAATTGCTGTCGGTCTCATGGTGGTTGCATTTTACCATCTGGCATTGTGGTAAAAAGGGGCAAATAAACAGTTCGGGCCTCCATATTTACGTTTTGGCGAATGTCATTTTGGTTCAAACATTTGCCGATGCCTGCACAGTGGAACTCTCTCGCCACGGTGATGAGATGTTAACTACCTCGCCCGGGATGCGGGAGGTCGTGGGTTTAATCCTGACCGTGATGCCTGCTGTATATTTGGAGTTGGCCTGTCTCTCTCTGCCCGTGGTCACGTGGATTTTGCTCCGGGTCCTTCGGTTTATCCCTCCACATTTATGGTATCAACGTGCGTTTATTGTATTTGGCTGCTATAAATTTCCATGTGATAAGCCTATTTGTTAAGGTATCATTTGTGGCCAGGTCGCTTCTGAAAAGAGCTATATAGCTGTGTGTGGGCCTCACCTGGTTAAATAAGAAAAATTGTTTAATCTTTAGTGTAAATTGCCACAGTGATGTGTTTATGGTTGTTATAGCCCTTGTGGTTTTAGTCAGCCTTGTGATCTCAGAATGACACGATTGCGTATTTCTTGCTTAAATATATTTTCTGTTTTGTTATTCGATAGTTGGGGTGTGGAGCGGCGGTGGCACAGCAGGTTAGTGCACCGAACGATGATCCCGGCCACCTGAGTTGGATTCCCAGCCACGGGCTAACGTCGGTTGAGAGTTATGTCTGAACCGGTGCCCAAGCCTCCCCCCCACCCCTCCCTGCCAGTTCACCAATCCACACTGACCAGCATGGAGAGGTATAGCCACACAACCTCCACGGCCAGCACAGTGTGGTGAGACAGTCGTTCAGAGATGGATTGTACGTATGTATGTTGAACTTCTTTCGCACCGGGCGTAGCCAACTGTGCTAATCGGAGGTGCGACCCTGCTAATGGGAGGATTTACAGTAGTATGGAAAAATTGTCGCGATTCAATCCAAGAACCATTTTCGATAGATTGGATAGCACTTCTAAGTGGCTTCGGGAGAGTGATGTGAACTCATAACGTCCAACGTGTACACGGATATGAGAATGACGGTTCTCACCCTCGCGATTGCACGTACGTTCTCGCGAGCTTAAGAGTCTAAATCAGTCGATGCGTTGATATGCCCCTTCGTTGTCGGAAATTGATTTCTCACGTGCCGTGTACAGTAACGCGTGCGGTGACTAATGCGCCATTGGCAGCACATGCACTTGAGTGAGTCAGTTGTCCTTTGCTTCAACTAAACTTTCTTGGGGAAAACCACAATCGCATTATGTTCATTTATATAAAAAAATAAGAATGCATATTGTGAATAAATTGCAGCGATTAGTCACTGGATTGAAGGCCTCCCCAAAGCCGTGTCGGGTTGCAGAGACTGACCATGTTTCAACACGCTTACAAATACCATTCTGTTCCATCTCATTCATCTTCATTGTCAACTTGTGTCTTAGTAGGAAAATCATTGGCAATGACTAATGTCAACTTCTTTTGCGCCGTACGAAACCAACCGTGCGAAATCGGGAGTTGCGGGGAATGGACAACAAACTCTACATTTAACATTAAATAAAGCAACGAAAGTAGGCAACTCTATTGTGTGATTTGGAGGAATCATTTAAAAGTGCCTGGGTGCTGCACATACGGATGGCAGCGTATGAAACAGCGGGGGAGTGCGGTGCGCGATGAACCCTGACGACCTGAGGATTGATTCACAGCCGTAGCGAAACATTTCGCTGGCTGAGAGTGGTCGCCTCCGAGTGCCTCTATTGACTCGGCCTTTAGTGGGATTGACTCAAGGCTCGAATGAGAGTATTATACCTGGTGCAGCACACATTGGGATTTCGAGGCTGTGTGGTGCTTAAACCGCACAGCCGCCCTCGTGCCCCGTCTGTCCCACCCTCGAATGGTACTCATCAGCAGCACTTTCCCCCCCCGGTAGTTTAGGAGCCTACACGGGAATATTTGTACGTAGAGCGCGTGCAATTGCTCATTGGTTAAAGCGGCGAGTTTTTTCTGATTTACAAAGGACGGTTGGTGAAATTTCCGGGCCCCCACTGTTGTCTCATCGGTGCATTCGCTTCGTTGCCATCGTTGTCTACGCCATGAATTGGCCGTCATTCGGAGGCACAATCGGCGATGTAAATATCGTTGAATGGATGAACTGTACGATGTCTTTTTTTAAAGAAGAAATTGCATACCTGTCAACCCCTTATCAGTGCCCTACCTTATTACATCACAAGGGAAAAACACAACCAAATAGACACATTTATTTATTTAATTTTTGCCCATATTGAAATGGCTGTACGCCGTATGGACCTGAAAACTCAATTTCCCTGTACAGGAATACGGGCTAAACCGTATGGGTTGACAGCTTTGACTGTTTAGATTGCAGAAACGAAGTTGAAAAGCCAAGACTAACACTTAAACAAATATTTCTCAGGATAGCTGTGATCCTTAAGAAAAGAACCAGTAATACTGGTCACA